TAGTTAAAAAGAAAATCAATCCCTTTCCAACTCAATTCTTTGTTTTTGATACTTAGTTGCTTAGAATTTCAAATAAAGGCTCCTCAAAGTGAAACGACCCGAGTTTTGCACTATATTGCATTGTTTGGATTTATTTTTGATTGGGAACCCCAAGGCGAACGACAAAGGCTCTCATCAGATTATTAGTGAACAAATAAGTTTAGTTATAAAATAAAATAAATAAATGTGATCAAATAATTTATATATTTTATTCTCTCTCTTATGCTATACTCTCTAATTACATTTCTTTATATATTTTCTCTTATCTTTTATTTCACTTATTGTAAAGGCATGTTTAAAATCAAAAGTACTTTCTTTGGTCCACAATATAAATCACTTCTAGAAGAATAACTTGGTCCAAAATATAAGCCACTTGATGAATTAATTAAAATGACTTAGATTATGGCCCAAAAGAAATATATTTATAACCTATTATTACTTTCAATTAATTTTAACTAATTTTTTATTATCCGTAAATTAATTATTTGAAATTTATAGCAAGAAAAAGAGAAAATAATAAATTTCTTAAAAATGAATCCACCTCTTTTTAACGTCGACTCTCTACTTTTCAAAAAGAAAAAGCAAAAATAACTTTTTACTTTTGACTTTAAGTGGTTTTTTACACAAAAATTAAATTGCCAAATCATGAATCTAAACACTACATATTTTATCCACCACACGTTTTGTCAGTCAATTGCATGATGGATGCTAGGGCTGCACATGAGTAGGGCTGGCCTCTTGCCCGATGCCTAGTCTGAAGCATGAAAAGGTTGAAATATGCAGCTTATTACCCCTCTTTGCCCATGAAAAGCCCTAGTAAGTTTGGGCTGGGCAAATGCAGGCTAAGTCGGCGGGCTTTCATGCTCAATAAGTCAATATACTATATTAATTAATTAATTATATATTTATATCCCTCTAAATAATCTAAAATAACTTTATATTAAAATAATAACTTGGCCTTAATTTAATTATTACTAATTAATATATCACGAAGCTACATTTGATAATAGCTAAGAGGAGTGGACTGTGACAAAAAAATGTTGTTAGCATATTTTATTAAACTTAGTTGCTTTTCTAGTTTCTAAAATTTCTTAACCAAATATTAATATCTTTTTTTTCATAACTCCAAATACTCATTCCAGGATGGAATTAGTTATATTTAAAAAAAATTGTTTTGTTTTAATAAATTTTTAAAGTTTGGAAAAATTAATCTTTTAGTCCCTATAGTTTTAACACATTTGTAACTCGGTCATTATACTTTGACTCATTACAACTCAGTCCTTGTAGTTTTGACTCGGTTGTAACTTAGTCCCTGAAATTTGACTCGTTGCAACTCGATCCCTATAGTTCCCATTTGTTGGAGCTACAATATTATATCTCATTTTTTGTAATAGTGAAAAAGATGAGAAAGAATATTGATGAAAGTACAAAGATAAATAAAGATACCATTAAATTTAAAAATCATTAATAAAACAATTATTTATTATTATAAGCAAACAAAGAATAATTTAAATATTTATTTGGTAAAATCGATAAACTACACATCAGTTCTTATAAAATTTATAAACAATCTAACAATGATTTAGTTTTTTTTTTTGAAAAATCACAATAAAACATCATTAAAATTGGAAAATTGCACACAAGAATCCATTCATAAAAATTGTTGTCAAAACCAATATTAATGTTGTAATGGGTCCCTATTTATAATTTTTTTAATTTCTAAAGTCTTTTTTTTAATGATTTTTCCTACTTTTTCTTTCTTTTAATAAAAAGCAGAAAAAGATTTTATAGAACTACTTACATCTTGTCATTAATTAGGATTAGTTCAGGTGATGAAAACAATAAGGTAAATTGTGGAGGAAAAGAGTTAGGTCAAGTTCTTTATATTTTGTTATTTCAAGGGTTATGTGCCTTTTCTTGTTTGTTTTATATGAATTTATAATTAAATATTATTAAATATTAATATTTTAGAAATAGGATACATGATCATATCTGGTTGGAGAACTTGACATATTGAATATAAAAAATTTATTGTAAGTATTATCCAATACAGTGATTAAAGAATCAAACCCTTTTAATGATCTTGATGCAATTGACTGCTGTCATTTAATTATTCCTTAATTTTTCACAAAGCATTTAATTTGAACAGAAAATTTTAAAACTAAAATATTTTTATCTGTGATATTGTTGTGGCGGAAAATAGAGAGAAACTTGCGTGAATACAATGATAAAATAATGTCTCTGCGATTTAGGGTGGCCGTTCGGTATAATCAAAAAGCACATTTAAAAAGTATTTTTATGTAAATTGAGATAAAATTTATTTTACATGTTTACGTTGTTTATTATAAAATTACTTCTAAATTATAGTTTAGTTTCTACTTAAAGGCTCTGTCAAAACTTTCAAAAGTTAGTTCAGGTAAATTTGGAAAACAAATATATTATTAAAATTTTAAACCTACGATATATAACTTTCACAATGAATGTTTATTATATATTAGGTAAAGACACTCTCAGTAGCCTGATCTTATTTCTTAAGTGTACCGCCCAACTTCTTAATTTTTTCTGAATGGTGTAACTTTATACATAATCTTTTCTTTTTCTTTTTCTTTTTTTTTACTTCTAGCACTTTAGTTTTATTCGTAGTGTATCAAACACCCTAAAATTTAAGGCGCTGGATGTAACTAAAAAATAATACCAGCATGTTGGATTGAAAAAAAAACAAGAAGCTAGTGACATGTGGCTATTAGGGATCTTATAACTTATAAGCTAGTGACGTGTGAGCTCCTCTTGTATTTGAGAGTTTGTGGGTCCTACCTGTCTGCTCTTTTAGTTAAAAATTAAAAGTCCTCCAATTATTCTTCGTAATAGCGTAGCGTAATCTCTACTGCAAGATGGTGTCGGAATAGATTCACTGGTCACTACTGATAGCAACATGATAGTGTGAGCAAATTTATTTAGAAACTTTTTTTTTAATGAATTTAATGATGTAACCAACTTTCATTTGGATAGAGAGAAAAATAGGGAGGAGAGAATGCAGAAAAAAGCTTTAAAAAAAATAATAAATCTTATTTTTCTCTGTATCTAAACTAAAAGTTAGCTGCCCTCTCCCCCCCCAAAAAAAAAATACAAGGTATTGATGATCCATATGAAGAAGCGTTAGTTTATACATATCAATGTATAAATGGTTTATACATCATCACTGAAATGAAATGATGAACATTTTGCCTTAGGATTAGTCAATTCTATTTCTCAATAGGGGCGGGGCAAAGAAAGGGATATAACTCAGTGGTAGAGTGTCATCTTGACGTGGTGGAAGTCAACAGTTCGAGCCTGATTATCCCTAAACCCAATGTGAGTTTTTCTATTTTGACTTGCGAAAAGAAGGTTTCTCATACGCTAAAGTAGGACCGCCTTCAAAATCTGAAGCGTGAGATACAACTTTTATGATGACGAGGATGCATGAGATGAGTAGGGAAGATGAGGAAGACAGAACTGAAAACATCTAAATTAAAACACAAGCCATTCATTGAATATAAATATAATACTTCAGTGCAGATATGTGTGTGTGTATATATATATATATGCGTACACAGAGAACATTAACAGTAATCAACCCCTGAAATTAAAATTTGCACACACCAAAGACGCATGAATTGATTGAGATCATGTCCAGCATTATTAGCCGTGTGGCCACTGGACTACCTGGGAAACTTATTGCCTGCCTTTGCCCTCAGTTTCTTCACTACCCATGTAACAAATATCACCATGCTGTATACAACAGTCAGTGCACGCAAAGCATTAAAAATGCAAGAGGATATGGTCATCACTTGATCGATATCATGAACGTCCCGGGTGAAAAGGACGAAAACAACAGCATAAGCATTTGGGAGGTACGTGATACTTATACCCATGCCTATGGATAGCAGCCACATCACAAATCTATGTTTGAGAGGAACGCCACTCACAAGCAAGAGGGCGACACACAGAGATGTCACAAAAGAGATGGTATTGTACATTATGAAGAGGCTAAAGACGTGTTTGACGATAAGCAAGCATGGCCTCCCCGGGACATTGTCCGGAAGAGCCTTTATCATGCTCAGACTCATCTTTGTACGGCAAGCAGCCAATGGGATCGTTCGGTCTTATTCCTTGTTGGACTACGCTTCCTGGAGGGCTAAGTACAGTTTGATAGGTCATGGTTGAGATGACAGTAGCCACCGTGCTGAGATTCCCCCTCATGTCTTCGAGCCAATCCCCATTATGGTCTATAGTTTCCAAAACATATCTCCACGGCCACCTCTCTTTCCTACATCTCTCTTCTTTGCTCGCAACACCATCAATCCTTTCTTTTTTTCAGAATTTGATTCCAGACTCCATCAATATGACTTGTATTTCAAGGCTCTTGGTGTCCTTGGGACTTCGCTCAACAATATCGGCTGCGGTTAAACCCATGCCGTTCTTCGAGTTCAATGCTTCTGATATTATTGTTTGAATTGAAAAGAGGTAACTCAGTCTAAACAACAACGAACAAGCAGCAAATATAATAGGGAGAATAATAATGAGGTCCTAAGCAAGGAAAACAATTGAAAAACAAATCCAAAAGGTTGTCATTCTCACTATAAGACTTATCATTATGAACTGTTGGGGTTGTTATTGGGATTTTTTAGTAATTATTTTTCTTCTGTGAGACTTGATTATAATTCTCCTAGTATAACATGTTATGCTTGTGACTTACACATAGCAGAACCAGAAAAGGATGGAAACACAAACATGAAGAGTAAGAAAAAAGTACCTCAACTTGCTTCAACATGATAGCCAAATGGAGAACGGTGTTGTTTCCATCCAAGTCTCCCTTAATAAGCAGCTCGTGGGTGCCATCAATATCCAATATCACCAGATCTTTCAAGATCTCCAACTGGTTGTGCATCACACACAAGTGGAAAATAGTTTTCCCCTTGTCATCATGTGAGCTCAAAGACTTTGGCCTTGCTGTAATCAGCTCCAACACAAAGTCTCTTCTGCCTCTTATCAACTGCATGGTGCAGAGGGATTCTGTGTTCTTGGTCACGAACCAAACATGCCTCTCCACAAGCTTGCAACAGTTCCTTCACAATGTGGATGTGGCCTTGTGCAGAAGCCAAGTGAAGAGGCGTGCGTCGAGATGAGTCCAACTCATCAGGGGCGAGTCTGGGGCAGTGAGCAAGAAGGGTTTTGGTAAATTCAAGGTGGCCAAGTAAAGCTGATATGTGTAAAGGAGTTTCAAAGAACGTTGTTTGTGAACTGAGTCTGCACAAGATCAATGGGTCTTGCTGGAGTAGTGTGTTCAAATTTGAAACACGGCCTTCTTGTGCTGCCTCGCATAGCTTCCTCATTCGCCTCTCTTCTTCATTGTTATTAGTTATAATCTCTATTAAGATAAAAAGGAAACAATAATATCTATCATTCCCTATATTTTCATGTAAATTTTTATATTTCAAAACTTTATGAAAAATGTTCTTCTATATTTGTCTCCGTTAGCATATTAGTGATTTAGTCCTGAACATTAAATTCGGTTAGGAAACTAAACCTTTGGTGCGCGCTGATGGCACTGACATCAAGCTTTTTCCCCTGATAAATAACATTATTAGTTTAATATTTATGAGGTAAAAAATATAACATGCGTGGTGATGTGACAGTTAGAGAAGCTATTATATATAATGTTGGCTAATGCAAGATTAAATATCAATGGTGAAGCTCAAAATGTATTTCTTTATGCTTTTTCCCCCATTTGTAAGGCTGAAAGCCTGAAACCATCATGACCACATTTTAATATAAATATTTTTTCTTAGAAAATTTCAATCTGGCTCCTCCTAGCTATTAAGGCCCCGTTTATCTAAAGTTTTTTAAGGGGAAAAAGTTCGCTTCTTCGGAAAAACATTAAAGCACTTTTTAAAGAGATTTCAAGATGTTAATTTAAATTTTTTTAAAACTAATCAATATATGAAAAACATGCTTCTAATTATTTTGAAAATTTATTTTCAGTAACTTCTAAAAATAATCAAACTAATTGATATTTGAATATAAAAAATAATTATGAGAGTGTTTATTTTATGGGAAATGAAGACAAGTGGCGAGGGAGAGGTTAGGGTTGTAAAATCAACAAGATGTTTGGGAGTGTTTTCCTCAATAAATGCTTTTTAAATTAAAAAAATAATCAAATCTAATTCAAAGTAGCTCTCTAAAAAGCATTTTCTACGTTCACATAATTTGAAACTTCCTACTTAACCCCCGGGGGGGGGGGGGGAGGACCTTTGTATTATGACCGATGCCAGTTGGTCAAAAGCAATCGTATACTTGGTCCGTCATTTAAATGCACTGGGAAAAAGCGTCCTTTGACAGGCCCAAAATGTATGGTATTATTAATAAAAGAATTTTTACGCAGGGACCAGGCAACTTAAAAAAAAAAAAGCAGAAAATATCTAAAAAAATACATTTGTAGATAAAAATATTTTTTATATCACTTAAAAATAATAAGATATATTATATTAAAAATATAATAAATCATTACATGTCTAGGTATTGCGCTTCCAATGCTTGAAAAAGATTCCCAAATTTTTGTGTTGCCACAGGTTCTTGTCAACAGCCAAGCTTAGCCACTTTGTATATTATTTGTTATGTAGCTGTAAGGAGCAAGATGTTGGAATGAAGATTAGTACATATGTAGTATCATTATCAAATAGCATTTACCATAGTTTAACTTTTTAACTTAAATGATTGCCTTAATTCATCTAACGAATTAATTAACGTATCAAAATATCAAATTTAATGCAAACTACTAAGGAATATAAAGTAGGAAACGAGAGGCACGAAATCAACCATACATCTCACGCTAGTTGAACTTTCAACTTAAAAAGACGTCCTAAGCTCTAATAATTATTGATTTGTTCCATTTATATCAAAATAAGAATCTGACTCTTTTTGTCATTTAATACTGATGAGGGAATCTTCTGATGACAATTAGAGTTATTACTTTCTCTATCCTTTGTTATAAGGTCCAAATAACCAAAGTGTATGATGTTTAAAAAAGCTGTTAAATTAATTAAAAGAAATAAATATGCAGGAAATTTTTTTTTTCCAAATATGCCTTTATCTACGAGAGGGTAAATGAAAGAGAGTAATAATGAGAAAAAATGATGAAAGACAATGTGTAGGAAAAATTAGTTAGGGGTAAAATTGATAAAAATGTATTTAATCTTAGATAACCGCAAAGTGGATCTCATATAAAAAGGACCAAAATAATTTAAAATTTTGAATTTTATAAAAAGTAAAAGATGGAATATATAACAAGTGAGGTAGACGCATATGGAACCGTTGAACTTTCAACTAAAATTATTGTCGTAACGAATTTATTTGTTCCCTTATATCAAAATCAAAAATTCACTCCGTATACCAATCAAGTTAGCATAATTGCAGGTCCCCAGTTTAGTGCAACATACAGATAAAGGAATCTTCAATAGATAACAAATGAGAGGTTGGACTATTGAAGGAACAAAGGGTGTGGCTCACCATATCAGGATTTTCAACTTGAATTACTATTGCCTTCATCTAACCAATGAATTATTAGTTGCTGAAATGCCTGTGTTGCGGTGTAGAATTTGCCCCACCACTTACGTTTGACAGTTGAAGTTATATTATAATGAAGACTACACAAACCTCTTCCATCTCACCTTTTCCTATATAGCCGGGAAGAATTTGCTCTTACTTTTGATAATTGGCAGCATATTATTAGATCCATCTTTGCATTCTTTCTATTATATTAAAAAATTTTAGTTCATAAAAAATTGCATCGAATCTTCTTTCAACTTCTTGTTAATAACTTTTTTATTTGTCAAGGTTTAACAATAAATTCCTCTACTACACAAGAACATCAGAGTTTTCTCATTCCCAAAATCCATGAGAAATTCAGAAACAAGGTGAGAATTTTTCACGATTTAAATTGCGAGAGAAATAGATTGTAGGTAATGTTGCTTTGTCATGGAAAATTCTGAGAGAAGATTTTATCTTCGAATATCCGTGAGAAAATATCTTTTTTCTAATGAAAATTATTGAAGAAAAATAGTTGCATTTTGTAGTTTTAAAATGTTGTTTATAAAAAAAAAATAACGTCACAATGAATTAGAAGAGAATCGATTGCAGAAATTTCAAATTGAAAAATGAAAAAGTAAGTCAAAGTTCTGAACAAAAATCAACCGACGTATAGGGGGACCATGGACCGAGATTCCATCATGGCTGTAAATGGACTGATGGAGACCAATACAATTTGAGGGTACTCAAACGGCCTGACTTCATTTGGATGCATTGGGATAATCTCATACATCCAAATTAAAATATAAAAAATGTATTAACCTTGTTTATATAAAAATATGTTAATCTAGATTAGGGCTAAATCTCTTTTTCATAAAAATTAGAATGAATTTTGTTTATAAATAAACAGTTTCCTATACATCAAGAAAAATAAGAGGCATCTCGCTCCGTGATGCGCCACAATTTATAAAATATAAACAGGGGATCTCGATCGCGTATATGTTTCGGATGTCGATTTATTGACCGAGTCAACTACGATTTAATTATTATTTATATAACAATAACAACTCTCCTCATAGTTGATTTTTTAAAAAAAAAAAACAGAGAGGTTGGAAATAAAAGTACACTATCAGTAAAGGAGCTATAATATAATTATTGAACTTTGAATTGGAATAATTGCCTTAATGTAACCAGTTAAACAGTTGAAGCGTCAATGTTGATTAGCAACTGACCCTTGGTATGAAAGCTAGGTAGGAGATGGCCGAGTTAGAGAATTAACCGTTGAACTTTCAACTTTAAGTATTTGTCTTAATCTAACGAATTGATAATTTGTTCGAAATTGGCTTGGACAAATTTAAAATTCCTGAAGATCAAATGCTGTGAAATATCAAGTCCAAAACAAATACTGTGATATACGACCATGTTTGATAAAATGGAAGTGTTGAGTTTGGAAAAGGAAAGGCTGGGATCATTATTGTCAAATTTGCAGTTGATTCACCAAGTTCATCGTTTCTGTGTTTCTAGCTTACAAAATCATATTAACTTATGCTAGAAACTCGATTAAACTCACGAATTTTTGCATTGCTAGCTTATATTATAAAATCTTGTCATCTCACTCATAAACTCATAATAACTTTTTGGACTTGATTATGTGTACTGGCTGCATATATGAACTTCATAGAAACTTCTTTATTAAGCATAATAAAATATGGATGTTGATGCATTAAATTTCAATTATTCGGACATGAAATATATTCAAACCAAATTGTTGTTACTTTTAATATTTAATTATTTAATTAAATAATTTTAATAGTTATTTATTGATAAAATAAACTCTTATAAGTTTTTGTCTCTGTCACAAGTTTACTTAAATTCATAAGTTCGATCGACAACCTTGGTTGGGATAGAACAGTTTTCTCGTTTACCAAATTGAATATGAATTTTAATCTCTATCTAATTTATCCCTTGCTCTCTCCCGTGCTTGTTTTACTTAATTATAAAAGTCTACCTGTTACTATGGGCCTGTTTGGCTATGTTTTTTGTTTTTTTGTTTTCAAAGCAATTTTAAAAAACTGTTTTTGAAAACAAATTTTAAGAATTAAAAAAAAAACATGTTTGGTTGATTGTTTTTAAAAACAATTAAGTAAAAATAATTTTTCAAACAGGATTTTTTTTTTGTTTTTAAAAACAAAAAACTGTTTTCAGAATAAATAAACAAACAGGCCCTATGTGACTAAACATTCATATCACCTAATAGAAATATAAAGTTCAGATCATTTTTGGGCTCAAGTGCAATTCTTGAATACAACAAGTTAGTTAAAATTGGTTAAAGATAATAAATATGTAAGAATTGGAAGTGTTTTCCTCCAAAATATCCTTATTTGTAATTATAATTATAAAAATACATACAAGTTTTCTATTATCGTATGAAATTTTTATTTTTTGGATCCTATTATCTAAATAACCAACTAACTCGGATGACACTTTGCGATTAGAATGCCTTTCTCCAACTAATAAGTATTATAATTTTTTATTTTTTTTACCCTGTTTTTTATGTTAAGTTATAAACACAAATTTATAATCATAATTACAAATAAGCATGTTTCTAATTATAATTTATTATGAATTTCAAATTTATAAGGGAAAATTGTAAAAAAAAAAGATAACCAAAATAGAAAAATTATAAATGGGGACCCATGACAACATTGGTATAGATTTTGACAATAATAGTGTAAGTTTTGACAATAATTTTTGTGAACAAGTCCCTGTGTGTAATTTTTTTATTTCAGGGGTCTTTTTTTACAATTTT